CAGGTAAAACCATAGGGTGCCCCATGGTGTGTACCCTTTATATCCTCTCTCTTGAGCAAAAGAACGCTGACTCCTGATAGCCAAGATACTGGTCCTCACAGGTGGGGAGTAGGACCTATCCTCTTCGAGTTGCAGAACCTTCCGGGACAGTTTCTCCACAGCCGAGACGAGGGAGGAAGAGAGACTTTCTTCGTATTGCCGGAGTTGGCCAGCCAATTCATCCACCATTTGTGCCTCTCCGTCTTTCCAGTTCATTACTGCCAATGAATTGGCGTATGACGATGGTGAGCTCCTTATAAACTTCCACCACATGGGTCGTGTGCACTTGACTTCATCTGGATCTTTGGATAACTGCTCGTTGTTCGGGTCATCATAAATCACCTCCAGCACAGCTAATTCCCTCAGGTACTGGATACTTCTCTCCATGGTAGTCCACTTGCCTGGGTGACATACAACATCTTCCTTGAAGGAATACCTTTCCTTCACGCCTGACAGGAGTCGCCTCCAGAGGCTGAGGACTCATGTCCCTTTTCCAATCGCTTTGTCAATGCAGGATCCCAGCTGCTTGGCTTCTTTACCCTCTAATTCCAGGCTACTGCCCCATTATCCCAGCATCGGAGCAGCCAGGTGACAACATGCTCTCCTGGAGGACGGCTGAAATCTTTTCGTATATCTCGCAGCTCACTCAGGGATAGAGATCAGGTGGTTACTGCCTCTTTCATGAATTCTGAAGTACAGAAATCTTCATTGTTTACTGCTGCTTTAAAATTTACGTATGCTTTTCAGTAGGTACTCGTGCTAAAAACAGACAAACGAGGAAAAAAAGGGATGGAGGAGTTTTCTGAGCCAATAATGGGTCTGGAGGTGGGCAGAAAACATCCTTACTAACTGCTTTGCACTAATATTAGTGGGAAACAAAAGTGTAGTTTTCAATGTGACATTCTTGGCACAAAAAAACTACTTAGTAAGTAAAACTTGTACAATTATTCTGCTGATGCTTCTAGTTTAGAGAAGCTTTTTCATGCTTATAAAAACAACCTTTACAGATGTTTAAATGGGAAGAAATAACTACAATCAATACCTTCTCTTTATAACACTTCTTTTTTTTAATCCTGGCTTTTTTGTTAATAGTTCTCTGTACTGGTGTTTTATTCATGTTTTTTCTCTTGTATAATGCATGTTGAGTACTGTTTCTGGATCTTACGATTTCAACAGAATAAACCAGAGTACTTCTGGATAACTGAATGCATGATAGCACTGTTCGTCTCCTCTCCATTACCCTTTACAGAGTAATAGCTTAGTTTCTGTGTGGGCTTCTAATTAACGTGCTCTTCTGCATCTCCTCTATTGTTTTTATTCTGTTCCTCTCATAAGGGAAGGTTGTTTTCCTGGATTTTGTAATCAGTGACCGTACATTGCTAATGGCACCAACTTCCAATTCTCTCTAGGAGATTTGTATGTTTTTATTCTACTTAGGTTTTTTTTCCAGACCCTATTCTTGATTGATAACTACAGAGGAATTCAGTCTAGGGAGAAAAACTCATTAGACTTTGGGAATGCCATATAGACTCATAGGCCTAACATTATTCAGTGCACTCACTGAGTCAGGCATTTTGTATGAGAGTTATGTCTGCATGTAATTGACATGAAATTATATCACTAACCACATCCTTTAAGTCAGAATTACAATGGGAAGTATGGAAGCTGAAGTGATGGCTTATCACCATTAAAAATGAAATTACCTGAAATTGCTCAAAGTAGAAAGGGAAAGAAACAAAGAATTTTAAAATGGAATTGTATTTTTTAGGTCTTTCCAATATTTTTATAAAATGTACCGTGTAAATTGCTCGAAGTTGTAGCAAAATTAATCATCATTACTGATGTATGCTAATCTGTGTCGATTTGGCTGCACTTGGAGGTTATGCTAGCTCATCTTATCCATTTTACTTTATAAGCAAAGGCAATATGGAGAAAAACCAACCAACATACAAGACAACTTTGTCTTTGTCCTTCATCCTTTACCAAATGGTACCAAAGGGTTTGAAATCATGTACTTTTGCAGGCCATACAGACCCACCTCATTCGCAAATCAAGCGGGGGGCTGACATACATCGCTGAGTGGAAGGGTGGACTGCTTGAACACAAGATGGGACATCTCACTTGTTTTGCTGGAGGCATGTTTGCTCTTGGAGCAGACGGAGCACCTAATGACAAGACGGGCCATCACATTGAGCTTGGTGCTGAAATTGCTAGGACTTGCCATGAATCCTACGATCGTACAACATGGTTTAGTGGGCATGGTGTTGTTGGGTTGATGGTTGGACTCGATGATCTTGGAGGTCTCTTCCAACCTTTAATGATTCTATGATTCTATGATTCTATGTTTTTATTCTACTTAGGTTTTTTTTCCAGACCCTATTCTTGATTGATAACTACAGAGGAATTCAGTCTAGGGAGAAAAACTCATTAGACTTTGGGAATACCATATAGACTCATAGGCCTAACATTATTCAGTGCACTCACTGAGTCAGGCATTTTGTATATGAGTTATGTCTGCATGTAATTGACATGAAATTATCACTAAACACATCCTTTAAGTCAGAATTACAATGGGAAGTATGGAAGCTGAAGTGATGGCTTATCACCATTAAAAATGAAATTACCTGAAATTGCTCAAAGTAGAAAGGGAAAGAAACAAAGAATTTTAAAATGGAATTGTATTTTTTAGGTCTTTCCAATATTTTTATAAAATGTACCGTGTAAATTGCTCGAAGTTGTAGCAAAATTAATCATCATTACTGATGTATGCTAATCTGTGTCGATTTGGCTGCACTTGGAGGTTATGCTAGCTCATCTTATCCATTTTACTTTATAAGCAAAGGCAATATGGAGAAAAACCAACCAACATACAAGACAACTTTGTCTTTGTCCTTCATCCTTTACCAAATGGTACCAAAGGGTTTGAAATCATGTACTTTTGCAGGCCATACAGACCCACCTCATTCGCAAATCAAGCGGGGGGCTGACATACATCGCTGAGTGGAAGGGTGGACTGCTTGAACACAAGATGGGACATCTCACTTGTTTTGCTGGAGGCATGTTTGCTCTTGGAGCAGACGGAGCACCTAATGACAAGACGGGCCATCACATTGAGCTTGGTGCTGAAATTGCTAGGACTTGCCATGAATCCTACGATCGTACAAGTAAGTACTGTATGGCAGAGTTCAGTTTCACAGTCTGACTTTGTGAAGGCAGCCGTCGGGTTTTTTGCATAATGCTGAATGAAAGTTGTATGGTGGTGAGACCTCTTCATCCTTTCTGAGCGACTGCTGCTTTGCTCTAAGAGTAACTTTAAGAATGGCTGCTCTGTTTTATAAATAATTTCCCTGCACCTGAATCATACCTACTCACTCTAGTAACTCACATGACAGCTTTTTTTTTTCACTTTGCCAATTTCTGTATAGCCAAATACAAGTAAGAGAGGGAGCCTGCTCATTTACGCGTCAATGCTATTAATCATGTTTATGCACAAAAAATTATTTAATTCTCAGTTCTGTTGGTACAATGCTGCAAACAATAGAATTGCACAAGGAAAATTGATTTCTGTGCAGGAAGTTTCTTTGGATTCCTTCATCTTCTTATAAAAATAACCCTGGCAGCATTCCAGGTCCCAGAGTGTATTTTCCAGTTTGATATAGAAGAGTAAATACCCTCGTCTTTTAAGCAAAATTTCACATGTTGCTAGTTATATGAAGTCTTCCAGAATGCAAATGTTAGCATCACTGTTCAAACTGGAACTGCTGTTTAAGGCATTGATGAAGAACAGCTCTCTCCTACTCTGAATTATTTACAAAATACTAAAAACAGGAGCTGCTGCAGTATCTTCCAGAAATTATATACTTTTTGGGTAACCTGGCTTTGTGCCACATGAAAGGATAGTTGATTTGGTAGGTTACATAATTTGAAACCTTTTTTAATGCCTTTATTTTAGCATGTGTTTTTATATTGGCTAGGCATGAAACTGGGACCAGAAGCCTTCAGATTTGATGGTGGTGTTGAGGCCATTGCTACAAGACAAAATGAAAAATACTACATCCTACGACCAGAAGTCATAGAGACCTACATGTACATGTGGCGGCTCACTCATGACCCAAAGTACAGGCAGTGGGGATGGGAAGCTGTAGAGGTAATGTTCTATTGGACTTTTTTCTTATTAAATCCTAATACCTTGTTAAGTGAGCTATTGATTGATATATGGATGTTGTTTAGCAGTTGGAGAGTAAATATTTATTTTAAATCAGTAATATCAACTCGAATTTCCAGAGATTCATTTACTAAATAGATGAACTAAGATCATTTTGACAAAACCAAATACTGCTGGTATTGTATATTACAAAAATAGCTTGTGATTTCTCCTGCTTAAATACTTCTCAGATCAGGGTCATATTTGGATGTACTGCTCAAGATGTTGAGTATTGCTGCATGTGAATGGAAAGTGCAAACGTGTGTCAAATTTGAGCCTTGGACATGGAAATAAGTTTTATGAAGTGTATTTTCAACAGTAATTGTACAAAGGTGATTTTAATTAAGGTGATGAAGGCCAAGATGAAGTACTAGATAGTACCGAACATTTAAAAAATGGGTCACTTTCAAAAAGCGTAGGTCATCTGGACTGAAGTCCGTTAATGATAACAATCCCTTCTAGATTTAAATTTCTGTGTCCCTCTAGCCTTTGAGCTTCAACCAGTCATGCTGAACCTAGCTATTTGTGTTTGTCTAGCACAAGCCTTCCAAGAAGGCAGCTAGTCTATACTGCAAAAATTAGCTTGCCAAAGCCATTGTTTCCCTTATTTCAGTGGTTAATCACTCTTACTTTTAGAGATGAGAGCCTTTGGGTTTGCCACATTTCATTCTCCAGGTATGGGTCCTTATTACACTTCTAGAGTTCACTTATTTTCTCCTCACATTGATGTTGCCCTTGCCAAATTACCTGCCTTTCACTCTTACTTTGGCATTTCTAAGCAGACTGAGATCTTATAGGAGATACAGGAAGCTGAAGAACATTATTTTTGCAGCTCTGTATACTTAAGAAAAATGCAAAAAAAAAAGAAGACAAAACTCTGTGCAGTATTTTGTTCACAGTGACCTCTCCTTTGCAGAGTTATTGCTTTCCAGAATGTCAAAAACGTCCTGTTTGTCAGTTTGCCCAACACCTCTTGTTTCTAGGAGTGTATGATTATAACTTCCTTGGATGGGCCTACACCGCTAGTTGTAGAAGGTTGCTCGGTACTAAGGGAAGAACATGTAGACTTGCGTCATGCAATTTCTCATCCCCAAGGGACCCTACTAGAGAGCTGTTACTGGGTTATGACTCCATATACCTGGCTGTGACATGACATCCGCCAGTTACCTGGCTCCCTCAACAGCAACCAAGATCTGTAATTGTATTCAGTACTCACTGTGTGAGATACTGAACGTATCTCAAATGTTGTGCAAATGTTGTTGAGTGTTGTGAAAAAAGAGCATTTCAAGTTTGGTAACTGGATATTCTTGAAGAATGAAAGTTACGGTAAAATCTGCTTTCCATAAAAGAATAGCTGCTAGCATTAACTATACTCCTACTCTCTAACTCCTCCTTGTTTGAATACTCACAGCAATTCTATATCTGCAGTCAACACTGTATTCAGCTAGGTAGACTGTAGTTACGTAGGACATTTTATTTGCCTCCCTCAGGTGTTGGCTCTGTCAGCCCTGAACCAGTATGTTTCTGAGTTAATGATTGCAAAGCAATTTTTTTAAAAAACCTCTAATTTAGAGTGCTGTTCCCTTACCTCCTTCTTCATTAACACCACCCATAGGCAGACATTTTACTACTGGAATCTTCCCAGGCAGATTATAATTGGAATATTTACAATGGCTGTTTATGGAAGTCATTCCACCAGCCTTCAGCAATGCCAAGTGTTCCTTCTCCAGGAGATGTTTTTCCTGACTCATTGTTGCTGCCCACACTGATAACATTGTTATAAACAATTGAAATGTTTTCCTTATTATTATTCTTTACCCTGTTGATTCAGTTTGTTTGTGTTTATTTCAAGTTTGTACACTCGTTTACCTTCCTAGTGCTCCCCGTGTGTTCCTTGTTTAACATTCTTGTGGTTACTCTCGTCTGGCTCTAACATGGTGGATTAGAGCCCGTGTGTGGGAGATGCAGCTGGTCCCATTCTGTACAGGCCCATCCTCCCTGTCCTAACATGCAGCTGCATGTTTCACAAAAACAAATCTTAAAGCTTCACAGAAGTTACACAGTCAGTTGTAGGTTTCAGATCTTTTTTTCTTTTTTTTCTCTTCTTCCTTGATGTTTATAGCCTGTACAGCTCCACCTGCTACTGTATTTTTTTGTTCCAGCACGTGTCATGATAGCTTACCACAACTATTCATAAATTCTGCTCCCTCTTGCTCCAGAGAGCATGTCACTCCACCCTTTTGTTCTTGGGGACGTCCCTGACCACTGACTATAGTTGGTTTAATTACCAACACCTGTTGCACAAAGAGGAAGCTGAGATTGAAACAAGAAAAAAGGGGCAACGATCAGACCGTTTGTCATTGCCCAAAAAAATTGCTCTTCAGGTGTTTCGTGTCCATTTTCAACTCATGACACTGGCAGTAAGAACTTCATGAGGTTTGTTTCCCGGTGCCCTTGTAGTAGAAAAGAAGGCTGCTCTATAGGTCATGACTTCTGAACTCTCCAACAAGTCTATTAATTCTTTCTCTAAGTTTTGTAGACTAAAAACATGCTCTAGCCTCTCCATTTTTTCTTTGGAAACTTGCTTTGCTGCTTTAATTTGAGTCCAAGATCATTCTGTCTGTACTTGAGCAGTTGAAGAAAATGCAGTTATGACCAACAGCAATATCCACTGTTACCGAGTCAGAAAGGTTTTATCAGCTTAGCTCTTGAAAGTCTCCCGTTCTGCATTATAAATGCAGCACATCACAATTTTGAATTCACAGAACTTCTTTTGTTTTCTTCCCTTTATGATACTTTGAGACTGTCAGCCAGTTTTCACTCCGCTTGATGTTTTCCATTACTCTAGCATAATGGATCTCAGCCACCCTCGTTTTCTGAGAACTACTAATTTAAAATGTGTTTGATTGTTTCTTCCCGCCCCCCACTACCCCACTGTCAATGTGAACATCACTGTACTCTGAAACTGCAGGTATGGGCACAAAAGGCCATTACTGCCAGTTAAAGGAGGGTGACAACCAAGAGCCTTTTTATCGTACTAATGCCGCACGTGAATGTCTTGTTCCTTTAGTTAAGTGGAAAGTAGCTTTGAGGGGTAAGATACTTCACATTTGCACCAAGTAGATACCACCAGCTGGCTAACACGGAGCAAGTTAACCTCTTAGTTTCCATCATAGCAGTGTGTTCAGGTGCCTGTACGGTATCTCCCTACAATGAACTCATAAAGGCGGCTCTAACTACGTGTTAGAGCACATAAATCCCAAATGCAATTTCCTTTTATTTTACCTCACCCTGTTTAGACTGCAGATGTTTCCTTGAATAATACCCTTATCCTTCAAGTTCAAGTTCTCCTTCTGCTGTGCCTTGGAAAACATAATCTTGTATTTGACATTGAAAATCCAGACACAGATTCAGCATTTCGAATTCATTGCAGGTTGAAGTAGACGAGAGGGAAGGAGTACCAGTCAGGGGAAATTACTTGTTTAAACTTAAGTATATTTGTCACTTAGTAAAAGTGTCCAGGAAAATTAAAGGACCTAAAGACACATAAGAAGAGACAAATAGGCCTGTTATATTTTAAAGGAACTCTCCCGGAGAAAAATCCCTTTTAAATATACAATAGGCAGCTTACTCTCCAGGGAAAACTATGGAGAGCCTGACATGCAAGCTAAATATATGCAGATAGCTACAGGGACTCCAGCAAAAACAAGGACGTTTAGGATATCTACTCACAGCAAAACACAGATCTTGAAGAGCCTTTAGAGCAGATGGAGGTGATGGATACCTCAGTCATTATTAGTGACTTTTAGTCCCATCTCTCATCAGAAAATGCTTATTCTGCCTGTTTGCTTTTTTTAGACGTATCTTCTGCCTTTTCAAAGCTTTTTGCCATATGTGGTTTGAAACGCAGCATCTTTCCCTGAGTAAAATCTACACACGCAGTAATCACTTCAGTGATATTTGTAATAACCTCAGAAATGGAGGAACTAGTTGTCTTCCATCTCTCTGTTGGGGGTTTGATAGAGCTCCAGGTATTTCTGCCTGAAAGCTGTTGCTCCAATACCTGTCTCCACAGCAAGCACCATGTTTCAGAGTAGCGTGGTCCTGAGTAAATGTAGTAATCCATCATGCTTACCGTCATTTTCATTGTGAGAAGTTATTTAGGGCTAAAGAGTATTTTCTGGATTTGTTTTTGAATAATGAGTTGTTTTAAATATAATCATCTTAGATTCTCTTCACTCCTTTATTATACTGCACGATACCAGAGAGTTATTATAAAACAGAATAAGAAAAATGAAGAGGCTAAGAATACTTTCAACCTTGTTAAATAGGTCAATTACAAAGAAAAAAGGTGAATGAATATTTTTAAACAAAGCACTTGATAAAAGAACCACTATTCAAATAAATTATTGGATAGTAGTCTATTTAAAGAAGTTATGGCTCATATATAGGCATGTAGGTACCACCTTTCTAATGCAAACACCTGTCTAAAATAAAGAAAAGCAGCAAAGTTTATTAAATAGTATAACTGTATATACCTTCTACACTTCCAGCACCAGGTACATGTGTTTTGCCCTTCTGTATACACCCTTCATCTGATCTTTTTTCTCCTTCAAAATTAGCTGATCATATAGAAAATTCTGCCCCATTCTCTGGGCAGATATTATATTTTTAGGTGTAAAATAGGAATCAATCATCTCTTTTACATCTTTTAACTGAATGCACAGTTTGGAAACTAGTTAGAGAAGAACACATTCTTATTCTTACATCTAAAACATGTTGCGTTAAGTCCAGCCGCATACTAGCTTTCCGTCTACTCCTGTGTAAGAGACAAAGCTTTTTCAGAAAGGTGTCAAAGAAAAATAGTACCTACTGCAGAAAAGAAATTCAGTCACAGCCCAGTACCAGAGGTTTCCCATTGAAAAATGAAATAGTTGTGAAGAGAAACCAAACAACTTACATAAAAAATGGAGAGTCGCCTTTCCTTTTTCGAAGCTACTTACAGGAGGTAAGGAAAAGACTAGTCTTTATCATGGCATTCACTTCTATCAATCAGAAAAATTTTTAAGCACTAAAATATGACCAAGAAAGGTGTATGTGTCATGATCTCTGAAGGCCGATAGACAAGCCTGCCAGAGAGAGGCTACTGTTATTCCTAATAGAAAGAGGGGGAAAAAAAAAAGTGAAAATCCATATCTTTATATCCATATATCTTTCCTTCTGAAAACTGGTTAGTGTTCACTCCTTTTACTAATTTATCATTTTGCTTCTCTTCCTAAATGTAAAATTAGATATGTGTGCCCAGGACTTTTTTAAAAAGCTTTCTATCTAGAGCTTTATCTAGTTTTCACCTCTTTATCAAAAAATTTGTGACAATTTTTTTTTTTTGCTAGTTTTATTGTCAAACAAAGAAAAACTGACAGATGATTCATTTTGTTAATCCCACTGTCTCTCCCCCCCTTCAGGCACTGGAAAAACATTGCAGAGTAGATGGTGGCTATTCTGGCATTAGAGACGTTTATAACAATCACGAAAGCCATGATGATGTGCAGCAAAGTTTCTTCCTTTCAGAGACACTCAAGTAAGTTAAGAAAGTTGACTTTCATTAATATGAAGTAGTTCTATGTATCATCTTTACAGATGTATTTATCGTGAGTACCCTTGACATTCACATAACAAAATCTGACTGAAATAGTAGAGCTCTTCTTAGGTGACGAGAAGCCAAATTGCCTTTTTTTTCCTTTTATATCAGTGAACTAAATTCTGTGACTTCTGGAAATCATCTTTATTCTGATAAAGGTACTTGATAGTCTTTGTTGAGAAATTACGTCTCCTAGCTTTGGTAGATCTAATTATATATGCCAACATTAGTGAAACAAATTGACCAGACAGAGGACTTATCAGGCTTGTATTGCATACTTTTCATTTTAAAACTACAGAAAAAGAAGTCAACTTGTGTGGTAAGCTCGCACGGCCTGTTAAGAGGAAAAACAAAAGCTTTCATTATCTATCACCATCTCTTAAGTTTTTAATGAAATAAAGGAAGTTTTGTCTTGGTCTCTTCACTTTTTTCTTCCCCCTGTGCAAGAAAAAGTTGCAAAGACCAGAAAGAAGCAATCATGCCGTTGCAACAGAAAGTGTAATACTCAAGTCAAAGAAATGTCGTAAATGTGTTTATACACATAGTGGCATTTTTTTGAGATAGCGCGCTGCCTCTACTATACCTTGTAAATTGGCCTATCAGAATTAGACCAAGAAAAGCCTTGAGGGAAGGATGGTGATTGAGAAAAAATAAAATTTCATTTGCTAAGCAGACTTTCATGTCTAAGCAGACTTCAATAATCATGCTACAGTAGCTACCACCTTGTATCATGACAATGAATAAAATGTTGTGGTTTTTTATTGGTTACTGCTGGGTTTAATAGACCCTGTCTTGGTAAATGGCTGCCCAAGCTACTGGTCTAGTGCTAGTTTTCTTCTTTAAAAATCCTAAGCCAGCAGTTGTTCTCAGAAGTAAGACAGGATTGGACTGCAATATTTTTATTCCTATGCCTTGATATATGTGGACATTCAGGAGGAAAAAAATTACTGTAGTTGTATATTATCAAAACAACTTGTAATAAAATTACCGAGGACGAAGTGAAGTGAACTGATATTTAATCTTGACAGCCTAAACTTCTTTGTCCTCTGTTAGGATAGAGGCATTCTTTTGTTGCTCTCCAGTTGCTATTGCCCTTGAGTCCAATCTGAGTTGAGTAGCCCCAAAGTTTTGTGCTAATCATTGTGATGCTGGGACTTACTGGTGTTTGGTCAGCTGTTTCCATTCATACATTCATCGAGGGAAATCAGGTATTTATGTTTTCCTGAAAATTATTGTAGTTTCACTTCCCTGATGTGGTCACGTTTCCTGCTTTTTTTCTTGCCAGGTACTTGTATTTGCTGTTTTCTGAAGATGATCTTCTTCCATTCGAACACTGGGTCTTCAACACAGAGGCTCATCCTCTCCCTGTTCTTCACAAAGACGATGGGAATAAAGAAGAAAACCAGACATAGATGAAGATTAAGTTATACTTTGTTTCATTCCTTATGTTTCTTTCCAGGACTTGGGCACATGATTTGGTTTTAAATTCCTCAGTTAAATTTTTAAATCAAGTGTTTTGCAGTCTGTTTTCTTTAACAGTAAATATTTACGAATGGACCGCAACTGATTATGATAAAACTTCATTCCTCTTATCCAGGTGAACCACTTTTTAGAAGAGAAATAGGACATCTCTCCAGATTTTGTTAAGCTGCAGTGTCATCTTGGCCCAAAAGAGCAGAGGGTCTGCATGTTACTTGTTTCCTGTTATGCTTTTAATTTGACTGCAAAATTCTTTTCTCCTCTGTGAGGAGATGTCTGCTTTAAGCTGTAATATTTTGCCATGTTGCAAAAAGCCATATTGAATTAAGTATAAAGAGCTTTCTTCTTTTTTTGTTCTATGTTAATTTGTTTTGTGTCTCATCCAAGACAAATCTTGTGACTGTGACAGCCTCTTCTTATGCGGGTCTATCATTACTTGGTAAAGTATCTGATGTATTTCATTGTCAATTAAATCTACATAAGAATATTTTCATCTCATGCAGACACGACTCTGAAACTGCAGTATACGTTGAAGTTAGACTAGTTTCATAGTTTCTATGAATTTAGCACATTAGTTAGCAGACCTTAGTTTTTCAGGTTTTGATTAGAATATTGTAATAGAATAAATTGTTTCCTCCCTTTTCTAAGTGGTGTTATTCTCATGTCTTTAGTCAGGCTACTATGGAGTAAAATAAAACAGTAATTTCTTATTAAGAAAGGGAGTCTTACCTTCTTTATATATTTAGTCCAGAAGGTTTCATTTGGTTGGATGGTAAAAAGATGAAAAAATACTCAATGACATTTTCCTGGAAGCTGAGAATTATACCAGAGGCCATTTGTTTGGTTTTCTGGGACTTCGTCAAACACTCTGGCAGGTTCAGACTTGACACCAGACTTTGAGAGTTTATTGTCACAAAGCAATGTATCATCTACGTGAATAAAACTAGATGTTCACATGCCTTGAAGAAAACTTGTCTCCTTAAAAGAAGATAATCATTCAGAGAGGAAATTACCCAGCATAGAGCTAACATTTCTGAAAGCACCGAGTCTGTCTTCTCCAAGTGACAGAAATGCCGTGTGCTTAAAAATATGCCCTAGATTAGAGGCCTGGCTTACTAAGAAGGATAACAGCTTTTCTGGCAAAAATGTTTTACTTGGTGGCATCACCAAAGGGGAAAAAAAAAAAAAAATTAAGCACGATTAAGTCCGGTTTCTACTTAAGTGTAGTTTGGAGTGGTTTACATGATTATTGAGTCTACCTGTGTTTTCATTTAGCGATAGGATGACTTTCATACATTTTGAGTAGGGTATAACACCTGGCTTCCCATTCTGAGAAAACATGGTATTCACTGACTGGGCTGCAGCAAAACAGATATGGTTCTGAACAGTAATCTGCCTTAAAGGTATTTAGTAAGATAGCTCACATGTCCAGCATAGCTAATCACAGCTGAGGAAGCACATTTGTTTGTTTAGGCATTACAGAGTACATTTTTTTCTATACCGATACGTCTGCGATGTAGGTTTTCTTAGGTAGAAGCCAAGAGCAAAGATAACAGATTACATTTTTATATACAGCAGCTGGAGGCTGACCCATAAACTTGACCCTCTGGAGTCTGTAAAGACAGCACTGCCTCTCCGCTTCCCCTGCAGACAGAGAAGATGGCATGTGCCACGTGAGCTGCCAAAGACATTTATGGAGGGGGCAAGGCAAGAGGACGTTCAGTGATGCTGATCCTTCCATCGCATGTACGTTGTGCATTCGTACATGGAATTTAATAAGGGTACCCTGCTGAGCCTGGGCAAGCCAGCGCTGAGAGAATGGATACAAATGTACATGCATCTGCCTCAGATAAAGCCCGCTTACATGGAACCGGCGCATTAGCGCAAGACTTTTTGCTTTACTGCTTTTTTTTAATTATTATTCTCTTTTTTTAAAACATGGATTTCCTCATGTCACAGTAACAGTTTTCTGAAACTTAATGAGCAAGGATGAAGTCTTGACTCTCTGTTGAAAAGCAGAACTCCTGCTGATTTTGATACTCCAGGATTTGTATCTTTGGAGGACTATAATATTTCATTGTATTTCTTCAGCAGCTGTATTTGTAAGGGAGCTTCCACCCCCAGTACCACAGAGAAGTTGTAGCTGTGGAATTAAAAAAAAAAAAAAAAAAGTTTAAAAAAATCTCTTCCCTCTAACCCAAAACTAATAAGATAATTGAGTTTTGTCTTAGTTATCTTTATTGGGTCATCTGCTACTGCCTACCACATGGGTGTGCATGTGCTGCTGCTATAGGCCTCATATCAGTTAAATAACTACAATAGCTCAGACAAAACCAGCCTTTGCAAAATGGGTTTTGTGAGCCTCTTTTTACATGGTTTTCTTAACCACAGTACGCTTCCCCCAGATGTGTCTAGTGATCTTGCATTTACTTAACAAGCTGAAGAGAAACAGTGGAGAACCAGATAGCTCTTCTCCGTGTTTCAAAAAGCAGGCTACAAACACAGAATTCTTGTATGCATTGGGTCCTATGTACTTCAATATAAACGTCACGACTGTTTCCTTGTAACACAGACATTTAGTATGAATATTTTTTTTAGTTCGGGAGTTACGATGATGTGAAAGAGCACAAATTTGATGTGACTGGTATTGGTATTCAGGTTGTATGTACAAACTGCACTATACTGTACTTTTTGTAAACTAATGTAAGTAGACAAGAAGATTGTACAACGTGTAGATCTGCCAACTGTAAGAAAAAAACTTTTCATAAACTGAGAATATATTGATTTTTCTTCTTTTTTTTTTTTTTTTTTAATAACCCCAAAACACCAAAGTTAGAGCAATCACTTTGAAACGGTCAGTACTTACCACTGCTTGTTAGATTGCTGAGATAACATGCGTTTTATTTCCCGTTCACTGAACTAGCCGCGTGGAAGTGGCTAGTGACGGTCACTTTGTGTTCCCAGTCATTCATAAGAGCAAAAGAAATTGCTTGGGGTGGGAGGGAGCATTATCTTTGCATAAACACACTGCCTATACTTTTTCCATTTCTTTGTAGCATAATAATGCATTTAAATCTGCATATGTTAAGTCCCAAGAGGTAGATCACTTTAAATGGCACCCACATTGTTTCACGGGGGGGGAGGAAAAAGTTTTGATTGTTTGTGAAATAAGTATTGCATATGTGTTGGTTGTGCACAGATTTTTGCAATGCCCAATGGCTCACTGTTTCTATGGTGACTTCATCATACATCATATCCATTTCTATCATGCATTTAAATTGTTTTCTATTTGTACATAGTCCATTTAGTCTCTTCATCTTTATATAAACGGAAATTATGGAATACATAATAGATCAAGATGCTTAATTTTTAAGAACTTATATTTGTAAAAATTTCTCTATTGTGAATAAAGTCTTTTAATATATCTGTTCAACTTGTTATAATTTTTCCAAAGCGTGTTGCAGAAGTAACTACAGGAATCTGCTGCATAGTCTGGTCTGGCTGCTGTACTCATGGATTTTTGTCAGCAGATTGGTTTGATACAGATTAGTACTCCGTGTACTTGTTAAGATACTATTGCTAATTAACGTTAGTCAGTGTATAGAATTGCTACCACAGAAATGAATTCCTAGAAATTTTTGTCAATAAAATTCATCCTATCAAATGTATTTTGGTAGAAAGTGAGCTTACTAACGAAAAGCAGAAAGCTGAGAAGTCAGAGGTGGCAGGCAGTAAGCACAGTGAAGGTCAGTCACTCCAATTCATCTTCTGCACAATATAAGCAGGCTTCAGCTAAATGCCATTTAGGAGCAAACACTGGAGCAGAGATGACAAGGCTGTCACAGTGCCCAGCGTTGCATGATCATGTAATGAAACGCTGCCGTTAGTCCATGCTCCAGAGGAGAGAGGAACAGTTGTCATAGGAACTGTAACTACATTTTGTGTCGGAAGGATGTGTCAGTAAGATCTCCCATCTAAATATTGAAATAACAGCTACACCTCATAGATAACCTTGTTTGCCATTTAGTAGAAAGCCTCATGCAAAGATGATAGTGAAATAAACTGCCGTGATTTTACAAAACAGTCTCTGGTAGTATCAATTTCTGTCAAAGGACTCACTCATTAGACCTGCTTAAGTAAGTAATTTCTGAGTGTAGCTCTTAGATCTGGTGTCTCATTTTTCCAGCATAGGTGCGGGTGTGCAGCTACGCAGTGCAATCGCTGGGGTAGTCAGCAGGCAGTCCCCTCCTGTAGCTGGCTCCAGGACCACTCAAACTGCTACTCCACAAATTAAACATGAACTAATGCAAACCTTAGTGCCGCACGTTATTCACAGGAGATGTAAATACAAGCCTGGGTTAGAATTTCAACCAAATTGGTCTTCTTAACTGGATGCTTGGTGTGGTTTGTTTTCTGCAGCGGAAAAAGGAACTAGGACCGAGCTGACAATTAGTTATGACTAACAGGATTTGCCCCGCTGTCTGCATTGCCCTATGGCTGTGCTCATCACAAGAGGCACTCGTGTGACGGCATCTGCTATGGCAACAGCCCTTCCTCTGATCCACCTTAATCTTGGGATTAGTCTGTCCTGGTTGATCTCAAATGCAGGAGGAAAGATGATGCATCAAAAAGCAGTCTGCCAAACCCAGGAAATGGTCACCAAGACTCAAGTGTTCCTGTCTGAATACTGTGAGAAGAGATAAAACACATGGGTTTGCTCTCTCCTGTTTTTTTGCATTCATACATGCACAGAGTGGCAGATGGAGCAAGTCACACAGCTGCAGAATCCAGGTAGAGCCCAGCAGGCTGTTAGCATTCAACAGTACCTCGAAAGCCAGACATTTGACCCTCATTTCTCAGGTATCCACTCCTCTATCTGCAGCAGCCCTCACTCACCCTGTAATTAAAATGACCATAATCAACCTTCCCTTTGAAAGCCCTCTCAAACTTCCACACGCTCTCCAAACTTTCTGTGCCACTTTGTGGCCAATTTGTGGAAGGTTGTTTGCCTTTCACCATTCCCACATGGACATTTTACAGGACATTAAAGACACCTCTTGTTATTAATATTTTATCCCGTCACTTCAATTGTGCGTTGCTTTCACACCATCAAGCAGTGTAGCACAGAGCTACCATGAGTCTTGAGCACCTCAAGTTAGAAAAAAATAATAAAATTGTCAATGTGACTTATATTGCCACATGCTGGCCATTGATTCATCTGCCAAGGAGCAACACCCTATGACAAGGGGACTTGCTGGTACTCCAGAAGTTCAGAGAGGTGTCATGATTGGCAATGCACATGACAGAAGAGCCCAAAGTTATTTATTTCAACCATGGGAGATAGTTAAAGGATTCTGATGCCACAAATAGCGATCCTACAGTAACGGTAGGTTACGTGATTTTAAAAAGTTCATCAGCACATATCCAAAGGAGCACACCGGCAATAGCATGCTGACGCACCATGCAATACCCTGCCCCAGCTGCTCCCAGACCCATGGGAGTCAGCCCACCAGAGGCCCATCTCCACACTCCCAGGGGAGCACAGGAGCACACAGGCAGGTGGGAACCCAAGTGAGGGACTCAGAGGAAAGGACATCCTGTCCAGGCCCCCTCCCAGGGCTGTCCCAGGAGAGCCTCAGCCCTAGTGCCCAGGTGTCCACCCATCAGGATGAGCCAACAGGAGCAGATCTCCAGAACACCTGGGGGGGGCATTGCCAAGGAGTACGCAGGGGAAGAAGATTTTGGCATTGCACAAGACTTACGGAATATTTAGAGGAGGCAAAGGTGGGCAAAGCAAGGGATATAGGTGATTTCCCAAGGATGGAAGTTAGAGGAATAAGGAATAACAAGCACTCCGCTTGCATGAGTGCTGAGTATGTCTGTGCTGATCTGTGTCGCCGGCCATGTACATACATATGTATGTTCTGTATAGGTCTGTCTGTGTGTGCATGTGCCTACTGGGAATACACGCTCAGCCTTGCTACCAGCAGGACCTGGGGCACGGAGCTGTGGCAGCCTCGCCGCTGCCAAGCTGCCAGATTCAGCTGCCCCAGTGTGACACGGCCCAGCAGCTACAGATAAGGACGAGGCTTTGGGAGTGCCTGCGCAGTGGGCAGCTGTGTGACTGGTTCAAACCTCAGCAGGTTTGAACTTTTTACTAAACTACGTGGTCAAAGTTTTTCAGCTTTCTTGCACTGCTGTGAGCTCTCACACTTGTGATCCTGCTG